CCCCTACAAGATTCTTTTTTTTTTTTTTTTTTTTTGTACCAGGGATTGAACTCAAGACCTTGCACTTGCCAGGCAGCACTTATTCTACTGAGCTATCTCCCTGGCCCCTAGATTCTTTTTTGAAATTCTGCAAACTTTGTAGGCAGAAATTCATATAAAGGTAGATTAGATAACTAAACATATCAATATGCAGTTATTCTGGAGGATGCCTACAGTTATTATTCAGAATAATAACTTGCAACACATTACTTTTACAATTCCCAACACTTTTGTGTGTGTGTGTGTGTGTGTGTAAAATACTTAATAACTTTATGATAAAAGTATACAGAGATAAAGAGTAACATAAGGTAAAGCATCTTTGTAAGAATCAGTCAGAATTTTAACCCAGGTAGTTTTGACAGGGTCCATGATTTTTAAAAGTAACTTATACTGCTTTTCAAAAATAATATAGACAGGATTTTTATTTTTTATTTTTACTTTCAAAAAATTTAATATGAAATGAAATACACAAAATTTAAGCGCTGCGCAACTACTGACATTAACTGTTCCCTAGCAAATGTAACTAATCTAGAGCAAATCAAAGGGCCAGTAAGTGGCAGGATGAGGAAATTTATCATACAAAATTTAAGTCCCAAAGCCTCAGATGGTGTTCTTGAATGAGGTGAGCATATTTTCAAATGTCACTACCTCTCTTTGTAGCTTGACTGGTTAGTCCCCAAAAGATAGGTTCTAATTCCCATCATCCATGAACTTCAGCTTATTTGTATTAAGGATGTAATTAAGATAAGGCTCTTGAGATGAAAATGTAATCTTTGATTTTTAAGGTGAATCCTAAATCCAGTGAGAAGTGCCCTTAGAAGAGACATTCAGAGGGAACAGAGTAGAGGCAGCAATGGGACCATGAAGTCACTGACTGGAATGACAGGGCCACAAGTGAAGAAATACCACCAGGAACCAGTAGCTAGAAAAGGCAAAGAACAGATTATCCTCTAGAGTGTCCAGCGAAATATGGGACTGACAACATTGGATTTCAGATTTTAGGCCTCCAGATATGAGAGAATAAATTTCTGGCATTTTAAACCATCAATTTAAAGCATCAAGGTGTTTTTTGGCACCTTTCGTAAATTAGCACATCTTATGAGAGCAGTTTTAATGAATTATCAATGGTTACAAGATGGTGGAAAGGAAAGTAACCTACTGGATACTAAAAGGCTAAAACAGAGCGGTACGTAATCACTGTTCTAATTGGTAAATTTATTTATCACAGGAATGGATTAGGACTTCTGAAGCTACTCTGAATGTATTTCACATAGTGAGCAACAGGTTTGTTATTGTTAGAAGTAGAAGTTGCCCCTGAGGAATGGGAGGAGGCTGGCAGATGTCATGATGCTAAATCAGAGTGATAGCCACAGAAACACAGACAGAGGCAGAACGTATTTGTGTGTCACTATGTGTGTGTATGTGGGTTCTATAGTACTCCTATTTTAGCTGTGTTTGCTAAAATAGTATAAAACAACAATGCCTCAGTAAAAACAAACATAACTGGTTGCTAAATACCATTCTCCAAAGGAAACAGCTGCTTCTACAGGCAAGTAGGGAAAATGCAAGATAAGCTTGAAATTTTTAATAACTGGATTGGGGCATGTCAGAAGGAAACAGATGCTAACCAATAGTAGGTCCCAGTGATGAAAACAAATCATTTGAATAACAAAACATTGAATTATAACCCAAAAGGTAAACATCTGAGGACATTCTAATGTGAATGATTGCTTAAAAAGATGGAGGCATATCAGAGTTTGAATTTTAACGCGTTCCCCAAAAGTATATGGCATTATTTATTTATTTGATACAGGGTCTCACTACACAGTTCAGACTCAGTGATCCTCCAGCCTCAGCCTCCCCAGTGCTGGGATTATAGTAATGCACCACCACGCCCTGGTTTCGGTGGCCAGCACTGCGTTTCTGGGGTTCTGGAGCTGGCACAGAATGCAGGCACTTAGACCACCAAGCTATCTCCGCAGCCCAGTATCTGGCATTTAGAGGTGGGCGATGGGATCGGTGGGGCACTATACTACACAGTGTGTTCCTCCGCAGATGAGTTCTTGGCTAAATATGCCTATAGGAAGTGGGGGCTGGTCAGAAGAAGCAGGTCAGGAGGGGTGTGCCTGGAGGAGTGAGTTCTCCCTTTGCTGGGGTTCTCCCTTTGCTGGGCTCCTCGCTTTGATTTCTGCTTCCTGGCTGCCATGGGCTGAGCACATCTCCTTCCCCTATGTGCTTTTGCAGTTCATTTTCTGCCTGGGCACCACTGACCAAGCGCTGAAACTGGGAGCCAAATAAGCATGTCCTTACTGAAGGATAAAACTCCTGGCTCCTGGAAAATTACTAAGAAGAAAAGGAGAAAGGTAAAATACTTCCTTACCAAAAAATTCAAATGATCCATCTGTACAGAGCTTCTACCCTTCATGAAGTACAGTTTCATCCTCCACTTGAATGTGAGACATGCCTAGTCATGTACTGCCAAACAGTAAAGTATAGAAAGAGAAAACAATGATCTTCACTGTGAGAATACCTGTCATACTCAGCCTTAACCAAGTGATGAAGGCCTACACCATCAGAGGTAAGAAATGTTGATTTGATGCAGTGTCTGATAGGCTGTAACGAGAAATAGACTTTGTCTCTGAGATACTCAGAACCCAAGTCCATTTAGAATTCCTAATCATGTGAAAACAAAACCAAATTAAAGGAAATTCTAGAAAACATTGATTGGCATTCTTTTAAAAATTTCAAGGTTGAGGGCCGGCCAAATAGCTTAGTAGATTGGGGGTTTGATCTTGGGACAACAATTGAGACTGGGTGCGGTGGCGAGC